TCTGATTTCAGCAAGAGATCAGTTAACAAGGACACAGACTATTTTCAAAAACCTCTTCAAAATACACATGCTCCCTGAATAGATGCAAAAGTTAATATACCTAGGACTACAGATGGATACGTCAGCTGCACCAGTGATTGCTCCCGAGATCATGGAATAAGCCCAGATAAATGGGAAACTGCACAATGAAGTATCCACAGCAAGGCCAACTGTCTAGAGTATCCCAATTTATTATAATAGTTGGCCAATCCAACATGAAGTATGATCTTTTTCTTGCATCTTAACCCTAACTTTTGAAATATACCCCGTACTGCCTTCCTCCAACACCCTTTTTTAATTTGAAAGCTGACTTTGGTATTGAGAAACCTGCGTATGCTACTCATTACATTTTTGGAAAGGAATTCAACAGTTAAGCACTTTTTTTAACTGGGCATTTCATCTGGTCCAGAGCATTCACCTCTCACTCCCATCAATAAAGGAATTTGTTAATGGACTTTGCTTCAGTCCCACTCACTTTCATGGCATACATCTACAGCAAAAAATTTTCTACACAGATGGCAAATTTCCAGCATTTGCTTTCAGTCTGCTCATCATGAAAAATACAGATATATTCCTTAAATATTATATGAATCAGAGCCATAACTCAAAGCCAGAAATAATTACCTTCTCTGGACAACATTCAGCAACCCCTTCCCTTCTTCCCCAGCCTGCCAGCTGCCTTCAGCACAAGCAGCCATGTTCCTCCTTTTAATTGTCTGCTCCTTTTTTGTGGTTTAGTCTTTTCCCATTTTTCTCCTCATCTTTCCCGCTCCAGCTTTTTACAGGGATTATACAGGGCTCCATCCCCAGGCTTTTTGCTCTCTGCGCTCTGCTCAACTTCCTCCTGGGGGACCAAATTCCCACTGAAATAATTTTATTGTGATCAGCAGGAGTGCAGCATCCTCAACTCTTGGGGAAAAAAAAAAAAAATCTGTGTTTTCAGTATTCTCAAACATAAACATAAAATAAACAACTTGACATGGATGACTCAGATTAGCTCTCCTTTTCAGTCTTGTTCTCCATCTTAAATGTCTTGGATCACTTCCATTTTCTGATGATGTTCAGGCATTACTTTAAGTGAAACACTGCCAAAAAAAGGCAGACTCAAAGCGCGCACTAGCCCCATTTCCTGATCGCTGGAGACATGGCCGCCCAACTGACAAACCCAGCTATGGGGGGCTGCTTTCTGCTTAATCCTTTCTCCAGATAGTTATGTCCAGGCTGCGCTTGTGGATTCCTTCCGAAAAAGCAGCAAAGATGTGCTTTTCCCATCCATCCTAGTATCAAAGCTCATAACTAAGTCTGTGTTTCAGTAATGCTAATATCTCCTTTTTTGATACGTGTACTGCTGCTTTGTTCAGAGTTAGCTTTCCTTCCCCCGGTCTAGCTTTACCAATATATTTAAAATCACTGCTTTCCATCTGCTTTTCACTTCTTCAGTGCCTCCATGAGGCTTATGCTATTTTGACCTTCAAGGACTACATCGTACTATTGAAGTGTCAGCTCCAGTCTCCGGTTGGCCAACCAGTCTAGGTGCCATTGCTCATCTGCTAAATTCACAACATACACCAACATGATTTTAGTCTAATGAGCTAACCATTCATTCCATCACCTACCACACACCTCTGTCTGTCCTCGCAGCTTTTGCTGTGCTCGATCAGTAATTTTTCAGTTCTTGCCTATCATATTGATACTGTTGTCATGGTTATACACCAGAAGTATATGGTGGGAAAAAAAAAGCTTTCACTGGGTTCGGTGCTGTACAATCTTGACTCAATAGAAGCCAAAGTAACCCTACATTTATGAAAAACTGGCCACAAAATAGCTCAAAATATTCCCAAATATTATTATAACTGAAAATACTCCCAACTATTTCATAAAAAACATTCCCTGCCCGATTGCTGCTTTTTACTTTGGAAGCCTGTCACAATAATAGCAGCACTGATACTAGCATATGGAGCAGACTGCAGTATTTTAAAGTTGCCAACAAGTTTAAACAAACAAACTGCAGAAATTAAAGTTTAAGCAAAACTTTCTTCCCAGAAACAAATACTGACACTGGATACAAAATATGAAAATGCCAAGCCAATACAAACACCAAAGGAGACAAAACAAAACCAGGCAGGAATTCCATTTTGGCACAAGTGACAACAGTTTTATGCCTGGATCACAAAGCAGCGGTTTCACTTCTGAAAAATGAAGTGTCTGCATCCCCAGGTAGGTACTGAAGCACCCGGCAAGACCGGGGAGGGTGATGCAGAGCGCCGTGTTCCCTCTGCCCAGTGACTCACCAGGTAGACACTTGCCAGATCTTTTCTGGTCGTGTTTTAATTGTTTCACCCAGGGCAGACTGGCAGCTCCTGGGGGTAGCTCTTCCTAGTAAATACTATGCAGCAGATTACAGACTCCACGAGTGGACAAGCCTTGGAGGCAAAAACCAGGGTGTGCAACTTCAATGATAGAGACTTGCTTTGATGTGACCTATAGGATTAACCGTAATCCTGGTATGACTAAATATGTTATTTGCGATCTTTATTGCCCAACAAGGAAAATTTAATGACACCCCTACTTCTTTTCGCTCTTCCAGGCTGGCAAAAGATAATATGCAATACACTTAGACCCTATTTCACACTAGCTGGTTACTTTTCCCCCTTCTTTGGATGGATGCTGAAGCAAAACTTACAACTATCCAGACATTAATAAAAGAGCGATCCAACTATCAAGAAATTAATAAAAGGGCAATCCAGGCATCCCTGTTAGTATTTCCTCCAAATAAAATGCATTCTGTCATCCTCAACTCCATGCGAACTGTTGCCACACACTCAAGCATCTCCATTTGCCTATGCAGACGCTGCACAGACAGAACGGAGCCCTCTTCTGCACAGAGCCCTTTGAGTTACCTAACATGAGCCATTCAAATTAAAACATGCATAACGAAAGCAACTCAATCTTGAAGCACTGTCATTAGATTTCCAAGCCAAAATGCAAAAGCTATGCATTTGAACAGCGAGCTCTGGCTGAAGTAACCCATCACCCAAAAATGCTGCTTTAAGAACATGCTGAATATAGCACAAAATTTTGTGAAGTTATTTTGCTACGGGACACATTCGCTTCAGACTAACATTAAATTTGGCCACTGCAAGAGAAGCAGCAAGCAATAAGGCAGATTACAAATAACCAAATCTTACCTCATGACCTTTTCAATCAGATGCTAAATAACAACTTATCTCAGTGGCGGATCACTGGTATCATCAAGGTTGCTCCATCAGATTCTTCCTACAGTCCAGTCTAATATTACATCAGCAAGTCAAGTGAGGACACAGTCATTTAACTTTCTCCTTTAATTGAGACTTTGCAAAAGAGGAGCAATTTCTTAGGGCTTTTTTCTCTGCTCAGAGAAGCCCATCATATTCACACTTAACTATCCGTAGCACTTACAGGCCTAAGTGGTCCAGGACCAGGTTGTCTCAAAGACATTCCCTACGGGCTGTTCTGCATCATTGCTCGTGCTGAGTAGGGTCTGCGTGGGACTAACAGCATCTCATCCAGATGGTTTCATTTTAACAGTACGCAATGAACTCTGGCTTCTTTAAGTCCCTTCTGGCCATATTTTCTAGAGTTAACTTCCAGAACTTGAGGCACAGAGTCTCATCTATACATACCCAGGCTTTGCCTCAGCCCAAACCGTACAAGCCAAGAAGTTTTGGTTACACATGGTTAAGTAGTGGATGTGAAACCAACCAGTTCAGGCAGCACTGCACCATTATTCAGAAGCTATCCAGAGACCAGCAAAAACCAGGACCATAAGAACACACAGGCTCCTGAGCCCGGGCAGATACTTTTCAACTTAATTGCTTTTCCTGCTCTAGAGATTACCGCAAAGTCATTTGTCCCAGTCTGCATT